ATATTTTGAATAATAATAACTAAAAATAACTAAATAATATTTAATAAAATCTATACTAAAAATCTACTTTGTAACATCATAAGAGTTTGTATAGCCTTCAACAACTCCACAATACTCGTTTCCATTCGATCTAACCTTTCCGTATTTAGAAAATGCTGATCACTGACACGACAGATCTTTGTTTCATGTGCAGTAGGGATCTCATAAGTTTTATCTTTGCTTGCCCTACTTACTTTCTCAGTAGCAATTTGAACCAGACTTTTGCTAATATATTCTCTATTACGATCATACTTCTTCATTTTGACTGCTAGATCCTTTGCAACTTCATACATATCTGGACATGCACCAGCAACCCTTTTTCAATATGGGCTTCGAAGACCTTGTATATACCATTCTCTCTTTTCAAGATCCCTTAATTGATCCTTTACTTCAGTAATATAATTGTCGAAACAGTTGGTGTACATTTGGACTGTATCACCAATTTCTTGAACCATATTCTTTAAATGCTCCAACTTTTCATTGATGTCAGATGAAGTTGTCCACTTCGTTATCATAGCTACTTTTAAGTCTTTCCAGGTTGAGTGAGCTTTCATTAATTGCATCATCAATAGTTTTAACTTGTCTGTTATGTGTAATACAATTATTAGGCTCTTTTTACCATCGTCCCAATCCTTTGAAGCTGTGTATGCCTCGAAGTAAAGTAAAAATTCTTCAATGTTCTTATGATCAGTGTAAATAGGTTTGGTTGGATCAAATACGCTCATAGTGTTTAGTCTGTGGGTTGAACTGAATATTATACAAGTTCTTCCACCGACGTGGTTCAACACCTATAATTAACAAAACCTTCCTTTTATTTCTCTGCGCAGTACTTATTTATGTCCCAGTACTAGAGTATTTCATGCATTTTATGGGTTCTTAACTTTTAACGTTCTGATAATTTCTCTTTTTTTTTTTTTTTTTTTCAAATAAGACGTAAAAATCTGGGTTAATATAAATTAGTTGTGTTGTTAGTATGTTTATTTTTTAGCAACCTATAAATAACCACGATCTTGCTAAGGTTCTTCTGTCGTGGCACAGTTTGATCATGAATAGAGATTCCACAAGCCGACTGGGTTGGTTAGGTCTCTTCACGAAGGTAGTACACAAATGTTTTGCAGTATACTTTTTTACTAGTAGCGAAAGAGAGTGCTTTCTTTTCTTTATTTTTTAATATGCTTATATACTTACTTTTGACTTTTAATTAATTATATTATAATTTATCATATGATATTTAACTATACTCTAGTTACATAATAGATCGATCATATGGCATTTGACTCTTATTTTATTACATACTTTTCATGCATTTAACTGATTCTTAAGTGATCCACTATGTCAGCATAATTACTCCGACCAACCCCAGATAACTGATTATCTGTGACCCGATCGACAGCGCACATGACCACGATATCACAAAACTTTTTCCTTTCTTATTGTTAATAATTATTATTATTATTTTATTTTTTTTATTTTTTATTTTTATCTCATTCCTGTTTCTATTGTTACCCCTCTTACTATATACTTCAAAATCCAACTTTCCTTGGAGAAATGATCCTGACCGTAACACTAATATATCTGCTAGAAAAAAAAAAACAAAAAGAATCTGAAGGTGAACCAAGTTCAAAAAAAGTTAAAGAAAATATTACTAAACTGACTAATCTTACAATCAAAAAGTCTTATGTTTAGGATTACTTTGAAATTGAAAAGAACATGACATCTGCAAGATATTGGTTTTTCGAAAAGGTAAAAAGTTATATGTGAAATAAATTACAAGCATGATAGTGGAACAGAAAACATGAAATAACATCTCTCAATAAAGTATAGAATTTTGTCACCAGATAATGAATCACATATAAATCTAAATAAAAAATATCAAATACACCTCAACGAGATGGTAAAAAAAGTAATTCTACATCATGTACCCAAACAAGCTGAATTAAAAAAGGTTACAACTGAATGGCTAGTTACTAATTCTCTGCTATTTTTCATTATTAACGAAAAAGGGTATCGAAAAATGATTAATCATTTTGACTCTACATTTATGCCACCTGTTATAAACCATTAGAATAGACCTTATTACTACTTATCAAAAAGGAGTATTAGAACTTAAGAAATTGATTTTTGACATCTGTGAGACTACCTCTATAACAACAAACTTATGGACTTCTTGCAATAATGATGAATATATTAGGATAATACTTCATTGGTTAACTTTAAACTTTGAGGTACACAATGTATTATTAGCTATTAAATGTATAGAATATTCTCATATAAGTAAAAGAATAAAAAACTATCTGTATTTCTTAAATTGTAATACAGACAAATTTGTCTGTATTTATATTTTTTAAACTTTATTTTTTAATAAAATTTTAAATATTAATTTTAGCAATATACTTTCTAATTAAAAAAGACTTTTA